TGTGTGTGTGTTCGACCATCGATTTCGATGACGGCTTGTAACCTCCCTCAGTTAACGCACGGAATACCGCCAAAATACACAATCACGGCGCACTAGTACCAAAGGCTACGGGGGCCTATTCGCCTCTACCCTTTGGTCCGACTGGAACCATTCTATCCTTTGGTGCCGGAACATTGCTATTAGGGTTGGGGTTCCAATAAGCTTGCAAAGATAACAATGAACCAGGGTGGGTACATCCTGAAAGAGATCGGAGTAGAATTACCCAATAACATATAGTCCCCATCAAGAACCGACAACACGGCGGACCCGTGGCTCAAGTGTTAGAGCGTTCGCCTCTGGCCGGAGAGACGCGAGTTCGAAACTCGAGTGTGACGGCAACATCCACTACTACACTGGAGTTGAGCTGCACCATCTGATGTTGCCCAAAAAAGGCAGAAAAGCTTCGTGAGTGTGCTCTCGGTTTGTCGGTAAAATACCATAATGAAAAACGTTTTTTAAAACTCATAAAGGCTTGCCTAATCAATAGACGTGTAGATCTGGCCAACTTCACCGTCGTCAAACGGTTCAGTGTTGGACTGAATCCAGAGGCAATCCGTACAGCGAAGTTATCTTGACAGTCAACTCGTTGCAGTGGCGTTTAAACTCCTTTGATAATCTGTGTGCCCCTTCACAGGTTACTTTTTCCAACTCCTATGTCGCAAATTATCACAGCAGCTGCCCTTGTCCCTTCGTGATTATCTTGCGGAGAAACCATCATGACGTTCAAGCATGCAGTATCTGGAATGATTTGGTAATGCATGTTTATCATATACTATTTAGTCCAGTGCACGTTACACGCTACTACGGAATGCTCCTCCCCAAGGCATCATGTCATTGCCCACATCCTAAAAAAAACTGCCACTTAGCCCCTGAAATGGTGTGCTCGATAATACAAGCATTGACAATAGACGTGACAAAATTCCAAAAATTATCACAAATCTATATATTTCCCATAAATCCTGAGTGCAGCCTACCACCACCCGCCCTCACTCCTTACATCCTTTTCAGATGATTTCGCCTGAACACAAATGTGCCTTAAAAATATGATAACTGGTAACAATATTAATTAAAGGTTAAAAGCTATGAGTCAAAAATGAGGCTACCCAAAATATTTTTATAATCGAAGCTTTGGAAAGGTAGGAGTCAATACTTTAAAAGAGTTGTTTTTAACCCGCGGAGGTCGTCATTGCGAGAATGACCGATACTATTGCGTTGGGCGAGCCTGGTGTCCACCTCATCAAGGATAATATTTCTCTTTATGAAGACGCAAAGCTTCTAGACCATGGAAGCATCATTGTATCTGAAAGGTTTGCGTTTTGGAGCAGTGGTTTTAGCTGTCTTTCTTTTAGTAATTTTACGTAATCAAAGCACGTGTTTTAGGAAAAGTGTGTTGTGCTTACTTTATGTTGTTTGATTTTTTATCGCATAACCTGTTATTTTAACTATGTGAAAAATTAACCTACGGTCGTCTTATAAATGCAGTTGACAGCTTCAAATCGTGAAATTCCGGGGCCATGGCCTATTGATAACTTTTTTTCTGTTTTGCTCATCTTTCGTTTCCCTTTCATTTTGGTAGCTCTGTAACGTGGCGAGGAAACAGCCACCAGTTCTCCCTTCCCTATCCGAATATTTGTCTGCATGCTATAAGTCAAAATCCCTACGGTGGAGCTGAGAATGTTCGCTTTCCTCAACCGCACCTCTTTATGATGGTGGAGGGAGAGCGCGTGTGGTCCACTGGGCAACCTGAAGTTCACGCCAGTGGCGATGTTGAAATGGTAGACAACGCAAATAACCACAACACTGAAAGTGGCAATTCCAGCGGATCAGAAGAGAATGGTGATAGCGATTTTGTAAATGATGATGAGCAGCCGACAGCCGTGCTACGCTTTGTTCCTGACGACCAACGTGCCCTGGAGGAAATGTATACTGCTATTGCAGACTGCCAAGCTCTCAATCCCGACCCTGACGACTTTTCGGAATCAGAGCTTAACGGCCTTAATGAACTGGAAGAGGAAGAAAATGAATGCGCTGAAGTGGAAGATGGTCCTGGTGAGATTGTTCAGATTACAGTTTGTACAAGATTCCATTTTATTCCCCTTGGAACATCGTTTTTTATATTTGTATAGCCGGCTGCCTCAAACATGTATGGTCAGATTTCGAAGGAATGGAAATTCCAGAGAGGAGACAGGGCGTGTGGATCTCATGATTTTTGAGGCATTCGAAATGGAGTTTCCTCCTCGGCAAAGTGTATGCGATTATGTTCCTGACCGCTAGTATTTAAGAGCCGAACTGAATGAACTTAAGAATATTCTATGAACGGCAACGAAATTATTTACAAATATTAATAATGTATGATTTCAGGCCTTCAGAAGACAGAGCTTCTGGCCTTCGCCACAGGAAGTCTTTGAGGGAGATTTACCAGTTGACATCTTTAACATTCCTACTATGCTCCTGGGTTGTTCTTTTTCTAGTCGAAATTAGTAAATTTTATGTGCACACGAGAAACACTGTTGTTTGCCCTAAGTGTGTGGACAATCCAGTAATCCCCTTCCGGGGCAAAAATAGGAGTTTAGTTGGAACCCCGTTCTACTTTTAATTTTCCAAAAGTCTCTGAGACTGAGAGTCAGTTTTTAACCGTCGTTCGCGATTTCGAGATATCCCTTATGAACAGAGTTCACCCATAATTTTTGTTGGTCTTCAAGTTAAAATAATTTTCACAAAGAATCCATACCATGCGAATCTCTTCTATATCGTTAGACTGTCGATCAAATTGGGTTAACGTTTGATGAAGTATGCATGTATACGTTTCATATATTTCGAACATTAAAGTCATGAAAGCGTTTTCATTATCTCTTTCCATTGTAAGTACTTAAACGATGCAATTGCATCTGCCAGAATGTTGACCCGAAACACCTGATGTTTGACATGACTAAAGCAGAACGATAATCAGTGTTATTTGAAATTTTGGTTGAACTTCTAGTTAGCTTTTAAATGCCAATCGCTGCAGTTTTTGAAGTCATTGTGCTTACATCTCCCCATTTTGTGGTAAAGCCATCTTTTTTTGGGGAAAATAAAATAAACTGTAGCTTCGGCTACAATTAACCACATTTATTCTGCCCTATTTTAGTGTACATATCTGATTTTATATCTCGTGAAAATCGTATATACTATATACGTGGCCATTTTTTGTAATTTCAACTGTCTCAGATGTTTCAAAGCTGGCTTTTGGTCGTGTTCTCTGTCTAATCGTATGCAGTTTAGATACATCCCTGTTCTACTTGTATTATATACAACTAGAGTTTTGGCTACCAGCAGAATAGCAGTTAGCGATGGGTATAAGCATACTTAATCATGCAAGCATGCATGCATATTTATGATAAATCGTTTTGTTGGTTAGATTCATTGTGCTCATAGACTCTTTCACACCGATATTTTGACTTCAGTTTTTCGAAACCATTGGGAGATATTTCATACTATTCTTTTTCATTCTTTCAGCAATCGAGGATGGTGAAATAGATCCGGAAAATTTCACAGATGCATAAGCTGCAACCTTTCCCAAAGGTCCTGTTTGTAAAAAAGATTATATAAAATGATTTTTGCGCTACGTTTGTTCTTTCAGTTATTTATATTCTCCACAACTTAGGGCTTCCAGTTTTTGATTTGATCCACCGTTACAGGCTCCTTCATCTTTTTCTTTGACGGAAATGCTTCCATTGAACCAGTCCTGATGTCGTTTTCCTCTGTATTAATAATATCTATTGCGGTGACATAGATTTATTGGGTAACATGATCCAGCTATCTCGTGTCCCCTTCTGCTGTCTGGGGACCATCTACTATTAAAGAGTAAGTCGTGGTTCTTCCAGCGCTGGCTACCCATATCGCCCTTCTTAAAAACCTCTTTTCTAAACACGATATTGTTTATAAATCGCCAGTGATACGAGCGTAATTACATTCTCTTCAATTTCTAGCGGGTGGAGGGGTTACTATTGCTATTTACTATGCCGTCATGACTGGGCACTCCCAGACGTCGTGATCCGAGTCAACTAGTGCATTATCATTTTTGAGACAGATATACTTTGCCATATTCGCTGTAGATACTATAAGAGGGTGTATGTCCTCGTCCTGGCTGGTAATCATTGAAGCGCAGGTGTTTAAGTGGGGAAATAAATCAATCACCGAGACTCGGTAGCCGATTCCTTGCAGAAGGTATGATGTTACATCCAAGTAGTGATGTCAGAGTATCATAATCATTAAGTCAAGTAGCTAGTAGCAAAATAAGACCGAAGGCATCGAAAGAGATCGAGTTATTATATACAGAAACATGAATTGTTGCCCCAGGCATGTGCTAGCGGCGTGTGACCGTTGTAACAACTGCTTTTATTGTGGAGAGCAAGCTACAGTGCTTTTTCGTGTAACTGATGTTTTACATGGGCAAAAAAACAGCATACTCAAGTTTGTGACCATCGGAATGGTTCATGCTGTAGTTAGTCGACACATTAAAGGGAAGGAGATGCATCTGTGCTTGTTGCAAAGCTGTTGATACCACTTGTGTTTGTATAGTTAGCCGATGGTGGTACTCTTGAAGTCCTGATGACCTTCCGAAATAGGTAGGTGCCTCTATTCTTCAGCTAAAAACAGATGTTCTTGTAAGTTTTTCGATGGCTGCGTTGGCCACTATGGATGGCCGACTGGGGACGCCTCTAAGTGATCAGCCTGTCACCTCAACATTTTAGTTTTTCCGTCAGGTGAAATGTTCCATCGGAACTGAGCAGCGGAACGGTCGTTTTGGTTTAGGTATCTTATATCGCGCTGCCAGACGGCGTTGCGTTGCGAATCATCCAAGTATTTCGCATCACGCTCATTCCCTGCTGTACTAGAACGCCCTGTTGACGTTTGTTGAGGCTGAGGTAGTTTATGTGCAGCCAATTCTTCTTGACTACAAGATCACTTATTTTTGTGTTGTTTTAATCAACTCAGCAATTGTGCTAACGTCGCACGCGACACAGAAGGTTCAGAGCAATGCAGTGGGTGCCGTTGCATGGTTAGCTGCGGTGCATCTCAACAGTAGCGTTTGTTCTCGCAGATGGTATTTCTTCCAGACGGATCTTTGTGCAATGGCCGAAATTTCCGCGCTCGTCATTAATATGTACTAATATAGTACTTCTCTTGCCTGTTTTTCGCTACCCTTGTGGACAACTGCGTGGTAGCAGTTTATGTACCATCTTATAATTAACAAAGTAAGGGTCCATCCAGCTGGCAGCATCAAGTCGAGTTGGTTATCCCTCTGAATGAGGACTTACTTACTTGTACTTGTAACGGCATTCACCTCGGGCGGGTTGAGCCGG